TTCCCCACTATAAACACATTACATCATCAATAACTCTCCCTGGGGAGAAGGTGGTCCTGCTCTGGAGGATGCATTCGTGTCCTGCAGACGCTGCTGGCATGGAGGCTGCTGGTTTCATGCTGGCTGTGATGGGTAGGTCAGCCTTGGAAACAACAACCCCAGTTGCTGTCAGCAAGCTTCTGGCTCCCTCTGCACCGGGAAGCAGTCTGTCCACTTGGGAAGATGGATGAAGGAGTAATTTAGAAGTTACAGGATGGGCTCTCTGCAGCTGAAAGTGAAGGGCAATGACTCTGAAAAAAAAAAATATTCCTAGGGGAGAAGGGACCTTATTTACTACACTGTAATACCTTCTGTTTCTGTAGGAACATCTGAAGATAAACAGAATAGTGTCTCATCGTGCCAGGTAAACAGCTCTCACATGCCATGGCTACGGTCTCTAAGGAGCTGCTGTTTATTATGAACAGTCTCTGCCTCGGCTTTGGCTACAAACCCTCGCTGTGAATCCAGCAGGGAGAGGCTCACAATGAAAGTGAAGAGCTTGTATGAAGTTACCAGAGGGATACTTCTTACTTTTGGGATTATAACCTTCCCCTCCTCCCTGACTACCCCCCCTTTTTTTTGTTTCTTACAAGCTGTGGTTCGTTGGATGGAGTGTTTGCCTCACAGTCCCATCTGGACTGCTTTGGTAGGCAGAACAAAAGTGTTATCAAAGGAAAGCTGTTAGTGATGCTACAGAGACTTAAAAAAGTCAACTATGTCTGAATTATTTATTTCCTAGCTCCTGTGAACTCTCTTTAAACAGAGAAATGCTTGGAATTACATGAAACTAAAGCAAGAGTCTCCCTTGAGCCTCTTGATAAGTTTTAATTTGCAGTAAATATTCGTGTATTGATCACTATCACGACCTGCTGAATTTCAATTTCCCTTCACAGAGAAAACGCAAACTTTCTCATTCTGAACCAAATTTGGATTGTTAAAATGGTGTAAATGTAAATTAACAGCCCCAGGGCTATGCTGGTGTAACAGAGATCGTTGTTTAGATTTTTCTTTGGTTCATTTCCTAAGCTTTTGCATTTCCGAGGGGATGGTGTAAGTGATCACACACAGAATCACAGAATGGTCGGGGTTGGAAGGGACCTCTGTGGGTCATCTGGTCCAACCCCCCTGACGAAGCAGGGTCACCTACAGCAGGCTGCACAAGACCATGTCCAGGTGGGTCTTGAATATCTCCAGAGAAGGAGACTCCACAACTTCCCTGGGCAGCTTGTTCCAGTGCTCCATCACCCTCAGAGGGAAGAAGTTAAGTGATGCAATGAGACAAGTACAACAAGCTTTACAGAGTCCAAGCTCAAGTTGGCACATGGCTGTGGAACCCTCATCCTCCTCGCTGAGCGCGATGCACGCCTGACACCTCCTCCCAGAAACCAGCTGGTTGAAGAACAGGAAGGCTGATGAGGTTTTTTTGGGAACGAGGTCCTGTAGCTGGGAGGGCTAAGAGGTGCTGTGGCCCTGCGGTGGTGGTGGGTGCAGCACTGAGCAAGCTGAGTTGGAGGAAGGGTGATCTTCTCCCCTTCACTCCAATGCTTGGAGGGGAAGATCTCCAGGGGACTCCTACCTCTGATTTTCCAGTGGACACAATAGTATTCTTGTGATTTGGATGGTGATGATTTAGCCACTGGGTTTTACAGCCATGTATTCCCACTGCATGGCTGGTAAACCATGAACCAATTTGTTCTTCTCTTTTTAACCCAAAAGGAGAGAGAAAAAGCTTTTTCATGGCACTGTCATTTCTCATGTCCTCATACCAAGGATTTGACTACAGTACTTTATGGCTTTCCTACCCCTCCATCAACCTTGGGATGTTTATTTTTCTTCAAACATAGCTGTTTGCAGCGTGCTAACAAGAACTGAAAATCTTTTAACACTGCTATTTGTTTACGGAAGACATCAAAGCCTTTTTTTCCACAAGCCTTCTTTGAGTCAGTACAATCTGCAAACACCCATGCAAAACCAAGGTGTGCTTTGTGTAGAGCAAAATAAAACCACAGAGCACTGAAGATAAATATTTTCTTATCTGAAATTCTAAATTTAGCTCTGCTTCATCTCTCTCTCTTGTCAAACTATTTGTTCCTAACCGAGAGCCCTGCAGTTTCAGCAGACCTTCCGATTGCCTTCAAGTTGGGTGAAGAACACAACTGCAAATGTGGACAGTGGCAGTGACAGCAGCCAATCTGAAGCAAATATCTTGTAACATCTCTGAGCACAGGTATTTCCTTGTTTATACTTTGGCGGTCGAGATGCTGAGCTATGCTAATGGAAAGCAGGTCTCAATTTTTTGCATTAGGTCCGGTGAGCTTTTGGTTCTGACCCAGGCTGTGGGTGCTGGGCAATACTCAGTGGAAGAAATGACAGATGTTGGCAGTGAGTTAAATAACAAGGTCTGCTGAAAAGAGTGTCCTAACAAATACTGGGGCACCCTTTTTATGGATCTCCTACATGTGTGGAGGCTATTTTAATGCCAGTTGAACTTCCACTCCTTATGGGATAAACGGGATTATTCCTTCTATGGACCATAAGGCAGCATAAACATCACTGTTTGCGTATCATTGGTCTTTTCGATCATACTTTAAGTATTGCCTCACCCCAGATATGTATCCCACCATTCAGAGCCTAGAGACAGCTTCAGAGAGCTTTAAGCATTGGCAGTGCATCACAGGAAGAGTCTCCATGGAGGAAACCCTCAAGTCATTTCATGGAGGAGGACCTACTGGAGTGGTACCAACCAACCAGCTCCCTCAGGAGCTATTCCCCTGTTTGGCTGTGGTATGGACAACAGGGAAGATGGGGGCAACAAGGAGGGAGGGCAGGACAAGGACTGACCGATGGGGTTTTTATTCCACAAGGAAGCAACTCACCCCAGGCTGCACTGGCTGAAGGTTACAGAGTGGGCAAATGCCCAAGGCTTTCCGGGAATCAGGAAGGACGATGTGCAACGTCAGTGAGGGTCAGCAAGGCAGATCTGCGCGGAAAAAGTACGGGTAATGAGAAATGCTGAGTACATCTGTTGAGGATGGACGGTGTGTTAAGGGCATTTTCAGCAAAATACAGTACTTTTTAAACACGCAGCTACAGGTATCCTTCACCCTGTGGCAGCAGAAGACATGCTGCATGAGCTGGTGCAAGGCAGGTGGACAGGACCCATGCAGGAGGGGCTGGGTGGCAAGAGGACATGCTGTTCAGAGGCTCTTAACCCTGCAAACACTGAGAGGCAAGCGGTAAGCAGTACAAACCTTTCCCCATTCACTGGCTTTAAACCAGGCAGGCAGTGCTGGTACAACAGGGAGCAGTCAACGAGGCTGCAGGACACAGCAGTTTTGGCCACTGCCCTTGGCTTTGGTTGCTCCTGAGCTTAGATGCAACATCTGGTTCAGCAAGGCAGGGCTCAGCCTCCCAGCGGTGAGGGAAAAAAGAGCGACTCTTCCCCGGTCCTGGGGTCCCCGCGGGTTGGGAGCAGGGACACAGCTCCATCAGTGACACAGCCAGTCTGCCCTTCCAGTCCCCACACCCAGGTGACTCCTGCAGAGCACTTCCAGAGTCTTGCCTGAAGAAATAAAACAAAATGGCAGAGCCTTAAAAAAAAAAATAGTTTTAAGCACATCCAACTTTGGGATAGAGCGTAAAGTTTCTTGCCAGAGAATTTAAAACAAACTGGAAACTGATCATCTACTCATTTAAACGATGTGCCTGGAGCTATACCAGCAAGGCTGAACAATCTCTGCACTGCTTTCATCCTTCTTCAATTTTTTCTTTGTTCTATCAGCCACATGTGCGTTAAGTGTAAATTGAAGGGCTCTTAGCTGGAAAAGCAGCTTGTGAAAAGGGCTTGGCCCTCATCTTCTAATTCAGCTTCAGTATTACAATTACTCTTAACAGCATTCTTATTTTGTTGTATTGTTTATTCTGGCTAGAACCCTTTAGGATCCCTTGAAGGCTTTTTTTTTTTTTTCTGGTGGATTTAGCCAACATCCACTCATGAATCCAGATGTTTCTGCTTTTATCCACGGGAATTTTATGGTATGGATATGCCAAGATTATAACTTCAGGCTCAGCCTCAAGACAAGTATTTTTCAAATTCCCTAAATCAAAAATGGAAAGTGCCATGAAAGACCCAGGCCTTACTGCATTTCACATGCCGGAATGGAAATCAAACCGCAGGACAACATTGCTCGAGGTTCTGGATCTGTGTCGACGCAGTCTCCTATGTCGCACCAGGAGTTACAGCCCAGATCGTGCTATTTTCTGTGTTCTCAGACCCAGGCTCTTGCCTTCAGCACATCTTCAGCTCTTCTTTCCATTCACCAGCCTGAAGTTAGGAGAAAAGATACATGTGGGTCCAAGATGCTTACACTGGAAAAAAGATTACTCACCGCAAGCCAGAGCCACTGCTGGGGTCTAAGTGAATGAAAATGGTTGTCAGCTCTCCATCACCAACATAGACACTCTCCCAGTCAAAACTGGTTCTGAAATAAGGGCAGTGACAAAATGTACCCTGCCCTGATGGGGACCTGCTGAATAACAGAAGTGTCTGCTGTGTCTTTGACAGCACTTTGGAGGAACAACCAAACTCATTCCTTGTCCCGAGCGACAAAAGCAGCACGAAGCAGAGGTTAAAGCAACCGTAATAACCTTCCTCTCTGCGCTGCGCTGCCTGGGGTTTGCTTCAGGTGCTCCCGTTCACGGCGTCCCGGGTTTCTTCCCCACTCCCTGTTCATCAGCGTGAGAGCCCTTGCTGAAGTCGCTGTGCGGTGGTGGTCAGTGCCGGCGCGGTGTTTTGGCCGGTGGCCCCTGCTAGAGATGGTCACATCCTTCAAAGTGCCCTGAGGTAGCTCAGGAGCACAACAGCAGACACAGGAGATGCACAAAACAGTTTTCCTTGGCCTTTTGGCAGCAAACCATAAACATCATCTGCCTGCGGCCATGCTGTGCACAAAAAGGATGCGATGCTACGTCTGATCCCAGAAAAGGTGAGTTTTAGCTCTTCCTCCAGGACTCTCCTGACTGGCCTTGAATGCACAGGGCCCTTCCTCTGCTGTGCCAAATCCAAGTCCTTTTAAATCCACTCACAGTGCGCTGGTGCAGGGAGAAATGCAGAGCAGCTATCCCAGTCTGCTAGAGAAGAGCCCGTTCCCCTCCCCAAGTGGCTCAGGCGCAGCCGCTAGTTATTGCTTGCTCTAATGGCATTAGTCCTTTACCTGCAGAGTTCCTGGATCAAAGGAAACTTAAATTATTCCCAAAAGCTCTTCTAAGGCTTTCCCCAGCACGGAAAAGCCTCTCAGCTGGCACAAAGGACGGAGCTGGCTCCGCAGCAAACCCCTCTGGGGCAGGGATGCGCTGGGACAAGAAGGGGGTGTGTGGGCTGAGCACCCGGCAGCGAGGCAGCCGGCACCATCTCCAGCAGCAGAGCTTGGCCCTCACCTACCCCAGCGCTGGGCTCAGCCGCCACGAGACCCCGCCGCGTGGAGCTGCTGAGGGCGGGGGGAGATGGCAACTCATGGCAAGGGGCTATCAGTCGGGGTGACAAGGCCAGGAGCCTGCGTGGTGTCACGCGCAGGAGGTGGCAAAGGAGCAGCAGAGTTAATCTGGGCCATGCACTCGAAGAGGAAAGAGCTTTTCTTTGCTAATATTGTGGATCAAATGTGCTGTGCAGGGCTTACAGAGGGTGCACATTAAATATCCCAACAGCATGGCAGTTCTGCCAGTTCCTATCACATTTTCTGTTTTATAATGAGGAACTTTGTTAGCATTCAAGTATGCGGTTTGAATTTTAAAGGCCACCCACTGTACTTCTACGCTATATGACAAACTGCATAAGTATACCTGTTCCAATTTATTCTTCTAGTATTTTTAGTAAAATATGGTTTCAATGACTTTGTCTTCCCTGTAAAAAAAAAAAATCCACATTTTTCTTTAATAAGTTCATGACATTCAAGCTACTAGTTTTCCTTGCCATCACATCCCTTTTTGGACACAGAATAAAGGAGACAATGTAAAAACAAGTTGGGTTGCTTTTTTTTTTCTAAGTTGGAAATAAAGAAATACAAAAATATCGTGCTCTTTAGTTTTAAAGTGTTTTTTTAAAAATCTCTCAGCAGGTCAAAAGAGTGATAAAATGCTTTTGTCTCCCTTTCAGGAGGAGGCCAGTTTCGCCTTCGATATACTGAGCATCACGAGGCCCTCGGTACAATTTGCTGCTGCCCTTGCATCTCCTCTCCTTGGCCCAACCTGCTACTGCTCGCTCGCTGGGACCAGCTACCTGGGGTAGGCAGCCCTGTGCCCCTCTCCCTGCGCTGACTTCCCAAACCTCTGCAAAGCCCCATCACGTGACGAGCGGTACCGCCTCATCCCATGAACTTCGGACCTGTGCTGGAGTTCGGCCATATTCTGCGCATCTTTGGTTTCTGTGATGACTTCCGTGAGACTGCTCTGGTCTGGACACCGAAACCCGAGCGTCAGTTGCGGCGGGGAAGGCGGATTGCTGCTGTAATGCCCTGACGGCAGCACGGCTGTGCCGGGACAGGCAGATCCTGAACGCACTCACGCCGGGATCAGTGGTGCCCCTGAAGCCACGCGCATTGTTCCATTAAATCAGTTCATGAACCAGTAATTTTTCCCTTTATAGGCATTACATCCCAGTGCCGTTCCAACTAAAGGGACACACCTTTAGCATACATAGCCTGGGCCTCTGAATTTAAAGGCTGGGCAGAATTTTATGGAAATTATAGCTTGCTTTTGACATTACAGAAAGCAGAACCTGAAGATTTGCATTTCTGTTCTTCCTTATGACTGTGAGTGCTGCACTGCCATTAATACATGGAGCTGTTAGAACCCGTGCAGACACAGTGAGCAGCAGTGTGCCCTGGCTGCCAAGAAGGCCAATGGGATCCTGGGGTGCATAAAGAGGAGTGTGGCCAGCAGGTCGAGGGAGGTTCTCCTTCCCCTCTACTCTGCCCTGGTGAGGCCCCATCTGCAGTACTGTGTCCAGTTCTGGGCTCCCCACTTCAAGAAAGATGAGGAGCTACTGGAGAGAGTCCAGCGGAGGGCTAGGAGGATGAGGAGGGGACTGGAGCATCTCTCCTGCGAGGAGAGGCTGAGGGAGCTGGGCTTGTTCAGCCTGGAGAAGAGAAGGCTGAGAGGGGACCTTAGAAATGCTTATAAATATCTCAAGGGTGGGTGTCAGGAGGGCGGGGCCAGACTCTTTCCAGTGGTGCCCAGCGACAGGACAAGGGGCAATGGGCACAAACTGAAGCAGAGGAAGGTCCCTCTGAACACGAGGAAGA